AAAGTGGTAAATAAATCGTATGCGACACACACACTCATCTAAAGCAAGGGAACCCACGGCACACACTCATCTAAGCAAGGTAACCCATGGCACACACCATACTAAGGAAGGATACTCATGGCACACACCCATTTAGGCAAGGTAACCCATGGCACACACTCATCAAAGCAAGGTAACCCACGGCACACACTCATCTAAGCAAGGTAACCCATGGCACACACTCATTTAGGCAAGGTAACCCATGGCACACACTAATCTAAGCAAGGTAACCCATGGCACACACTCATCTAAGCATGGTAACCCACGGCACACACTCATCTAAGCATGGTAACCCACGGCACACACTCATCTAAGCAAGGTAACCCACGGCACACACTCATCTAAGCATGGTAACCCACGGCACACACTCATCTAAGCAAGGTAACCCACGGCACACACTCATCCCAAGCATGGTAACCCATGGCACACACCATCCTAAGCAAGGTAACCCACGGCACACACTCATCTAAGCATGGTAACCCACGCACACACTCATCTAAGCAAGGTAACCCACGGCACACACTCATCTAAGCAAGGTAACCCACGGCACACACTCATCTAAGCATGGTAACCCATGGCACACACCATCCTAAGCAAGAAAACTCATGGCACACACTCATTTAGGCAAGGTAACCCATGGCACACACTTATCTAAGCAAGGTAACCCACGGAACACACTCATCTAAGCAAGGTAACCCATGGCACACACTCATCTAAGCATGGTAACCCATGGCACACAACATACTAAGGAAGGATACTCATGGCACACACCCATTTAGGCAAGGTAACCCATGGCACACACTTATCTAAGCAAGGGAACCCACGGCACACACTCATCTAAGCATGGTAACCCATGGCACACACCATACTAAGGAAGGATACTCATAGCACACACCCATTTAGGCAAGGTAACCCATGGCACACACTTACCTAAGCAAGGTAACCCACGGCACACACTCATCTAAGCAAGGTAACCCTTGGCACACATCATCCCAAGCATGGTAACCCATGACACACACTCATTTAGGCAAGGTAACCCATGGCACACACTAATCTAAGCAAGGTAACCCACGGCACACACTC